CACTATCACACGCAAACTCACCCTGACGTTTGGGTTGAAATCCCAAAAGAGGTGATCCACTACACCGGTCGGGATCAGCAGCTTAACTGATCTTTAAAAAAAAATATAACACTCACGTCAGCACTGATCACATTTTATCTTCGCGGTCCTATAGCCAGTAGTAGGGAATTTGTAAACAACTAGGTATATTACAGACAAGCTCTCTCAGCCCATCTGCTTCAATGTAGCTTTTCAATGCATCTTTCGTTTGGCGAATGCTGGGGTTTGGAATTCCACAAAGAAGTTTTGTGGTCTCAGTTTGTTTTAAATCTTTGAATAATTTCAAGATAATATTATATACGATGGAGCCAAAGCATCGTAACAATTATTTTCAGCTCGATAGGTTGGACTTCAGTGCGAAGTTCTACAAGTAAAATGTAGTAGATTGCATTACACCATAAGATTGCCGAAGTCATTCAGATTTATTTCGTTGTATTATACACCAATTTTCTGAACAATTAGTGTGTTCGTCTAGGCCACAAAAACTGATATTACAGACTTTTACATTTAATCGTTTTTTATTATTAAGGAAAACCGCAATGTTGGAGCAACTCTCCCAGGCATATTTTTTTTGATAGAACGAATTTGCTAGACATTTGAAACTTGAGTAAGTATTACTCATGAGCTGCGATAGGAATTATAACATATTTTTGCATTAATTAGTTTTTATTAATACGGAAAAACGCAATAGTTAAGAAACTCGCCCTGTCATATTTTTTCAATACTGAACGAATTTGCTTTAAATTTGGAATATTAGTAGGTATTACCAATGCACTGCAATAGGAATTATTACAAATTGTTACAAAAATTATTTTTCAATTAAAACGAATAAACGCATTTTAAAGCAACCTAACCACTCATAAGTCCTTAAATACTGAACGTATATATTTGTGTTTCGGAATATAAGTAGGTATTATTAATACGCGGCGGTAAGATTATTACTGCTTTTTCATTACGTCATTTTCAATTAAAGCTAATAAACACATTTTCGTTTTATTTGCATATCTCATATCTATACTAGTGAAAGTCGTAATCAATCCAACGTAGGTAGGTCAAAACAGTTTTAAAATGTTAAGTACCCTTCGTTGGATTGATTACGACTACTACTGGCATAGGATATGAGAAAGACTGACAGCTGCCACAGCTCTGAGGGTATAATTGATCTTATGTAAATTTAATAATAATACCAATCACGGCCTCCGGGCAATTAGGAAGTATCGGTCATGCAAGGCCTATTTAACAACATAAACAACTTTTAAGGAACAATCGCAAGTCGTGACTATGCAAATACACATAACTAAAGATGCTTATACACGAGGCGAATAGTTGCGTCGACTAGTCGACGCAACTAAAATTTGTGATGATTGACGTCTTCAGAGGCGACTAGCTGCTGCATTGCACATGGAGTAGCTCAAGTTGTTTCAAGACAGTCTAGTGTGCCCACTGCCCAGTAGCGGATCGGCCTTCGTACTGAGCATATCTGAGTCGCTGTCTTTTCTATACTGTATTGCGCACAGCTGTGGAGCTCTCGCTTGCCTCCACCATGCACACACCTTACTCGACAACTCCCAAAGTCGCACTGGCGCACTGTACTGAAAACACTCTCCTTGTGTATAGACTCTCATCCGGCAAAACTGTAGTCGACTCAAGTAACCGACGCTACTAATCGCACCGTGTATAAGCACCTTAACAGTCTATAACCTATGTGTAAACAACATGCGATTCTTCGAAATTATTGCGTCCACAATCCATGTTCAAGTTACTCACCTCAATTGGAAATATTAGAAATTTATTTAATTTTGACAATTCTTGAACTAGCTTATTTACAGCAAATACTTATATTCCATTCCAAATGGCAAGCAGATCCGTTAAGTATTGGAGGAGCTGTGGCTGGAAGGGTTGCTTGAAAAATGCGTTTATTAGTTTTAATTGAAAACGAAGTAATGGAAAAATCTGTAATAATTCCTACCGCAGCGTATTGGTAATACCTTCTCAAATTTCAAATTTCAAGGAAATTCGTTCAGTATTAAAAAAAATTATGACAGGGCGAGTTGCTTAAATATTACGTTTCTCCGTATTAATAAAAACAAATTGATGTAAAAATCTGGAATAATTCCTATCGCAGCGCATTGGTAATACCTACTTATGTTCCAAATATGAATAAAATCCGTTCAGTATTGAAGGAGTTATGACTGGGCGAGTTGAACGCTTAGTTCGGTTTAGCGTTCGAATTCGCAAGCGAGTTCGTAAAAGTATCGCATCGGTGCGACAAAATTGAAAAAATAGTCAAATTATGCCAGAATTTTTTGTGTTTTAATTGTGTTTCCAACTAATTTGCAGCTAATCTTACAAAACATGATCTTCGTTGAAGTTGTGTTGGATCACTGCTCTATTCTAAATTATGAAATTTCAACATGATTGGATTGAGCGATTTTATTAGGTTAGATGGGAAGTATGAGGATGAGGTATTTCTCACTTCAAGATGGACTAAATTCCATTCTACCAAAGCTTGATCTAGTTGCACTAACATACATTCGGAGTTTTTCATTTCAAATCCGATTTTTTATTCACAATATAAGAATCAATAACCTTTCAAAAAATTTACAAACATTCGCTCTGAATCATAAATTGCTTGACTGAAAATCCACTTTGTCCGCGAACGTCTTTTCTCGGGAGTATGTAACAGATTATTCGGTTTAATAGACAGGGCTTTTACATTTATGATGGCGCATTATTGTAAAGACTAATGTTCGGTATTAATTTATGAGCGATTCCTATGAAGAGGTAGGCAGATTATTCGTGGCCCAGAAAATTCGTGGTATTTATTGAGAACGAAGTCAGCTGTCACAGCCATCTTTATTGCAACGCTAAAATTTTGATTATTCACGTCGGTATTACTATATTGTGTTCAATTTCTGAGAAGAGGATGATTCTTGATGATTAATGGGCAGACTTGTTGTGCGATCTTGAGGAGAAGGCTACTCTTTCTTGGATTTCTTTCTTTCGTCAATTTGTTGCAAAAATGCACGCCGTAGCTGTCCGGAAAGATCTGTGAATAAAAATTTTCTAAAAATTTAAACGTACATGGATTTGACATATTAACATAACTTTCATAAATCATAATTTTTCAACTTTGGAAAATATTTAAAACCTTGCACATTTTAACATATTTTAGCAATGATTTAGTTAATACGTTTTTTTTCTAAATTTTTGAAAATTTTTCGTTATTGTACACATCAAGAATGTATCTAAGATGATTTAAATAGCAGACGTCTTGGACTTCCTGAGAGGCCTAACTAGTGCTTTTTGAACAGACGCCAGCACCCGAATCATGGAAGTTTCACAAAGTTTTGCTCATGAGTCTATTAATAAATAGGCTATATAAAAATAGATATAGTGAAAACAGAAGGCATGGAGGTCTGGAAAAACCGTTGGATCCTGAACCAAATAGTTGCATTACCGTAAAACAATAGATTATGATGTCAGTGCAAAATCAGTGCTTTCAACGTACATACAAAAAAACTAATATTCGTCAGGACTGCAAATATCTTAAATTCCAGTGTAAGAACTACAATTAAGAAACACATGTAGTAATCACAGAATAACTGATATGATGTATTTCCAATGCGAAGGAGGTTTGTATAATTAAAAATTGTTCTTCCAAGAAGCGAGAAAGCCTATTTTCTCCCGACTTACTTCAGCCGAAATAAGCGTGCATTCCCGACTGTATTACGCCTTCGAGATTGTAAGAAGGCCGGAAAAATGGGCTGAAATATATGCTAAGCAGTTCTCGGCTCGAATGAATTTCCAAAAAAGTAATTTGAGTCCGAATTTGCGGCAAAATTTTAGCAGCCAATAATAGTGAGATATAATTTGATCTAATTATCTAAGTGGTCCCACTATTTTTTTAAAGCCCTTTGAGTAACGATCTACTTTATACTACTATCAAGTTAGTCTGTTAGATAAAGTATTAGTTAAAGTTAGTCCAATTCAGGTAATAACAGTAATGTTAATTCGTTCCAACTTAATAAAGACCCCTGTAAATCCTTATTTAACAGTGAAGATAGGACTCTCATTTTACTCTCAATTCAAAATATGGAAAAACTAATATGTTCTTCAAGTTAAATGTATTCATATCAATTATAAATCAAATTTAAATTTACAGTCCAATACTTTTTCAATTTTCTCCAATGTAATTAAATTCTTCCACTGAGAAACAATTTCAGGTCCAATTAAGTATTATCCCGTCACAAGAGGGAGATTTCATTAGTTAACATTTGTAAAGTTTGTAAGATCGGCGAATTGAAGTCTGGTAGATCCTGCAGAGTGCCAAAGACAGAACAATAAGTATCCTGGACACTCGGCTACGTGCCATAACAGCCCCTGTATATATTTGTGGTGCAAGGCTTCAAACACATACACATACAAAATAATTGAAAAATATGTTTAAGATTAGTTGAAATTGGTAATTGGACAGAACTAAAATATAGGTGGGACATTAGTTCAATTGTTCAACATCAGGCAAACTTACTTCGTGTATAGTTTTGTTGTTAGATTCTACTGGGGCCAGGAATAGAGTTGGCAGAGCGTGAGCCCAATATACTGGATAGAAGTAAGACGTTTTTAAGGCCAGCCAATCACAGAGCTCAAGTTGTTCATCTGATGTGAAGAAATAAAAATCTGAAATATGAGGTATGAAACCAGACAAATAAATCGTTAGTTTACAAAAAACTGCTGAAATTATCTGATCTGATGACATAAAACTGACAAAATTATTGTGATTCTCGTGGAATATTTTTGTAAACCTGGGTACTTTGATTTAATATCCGTCTGTAATATTATTCGCCTAAATACTCTTGACACCCTGTATGGAGAGTAATTAGATTTCTAATTCATATTGAAACTAGAGTAATTTCGAAATTTTATTTCATATAATTTGGTTACCAAACAAAAAAACTGACCATGTTCATTCATAATCTTCAACGAAGTTTCCGATGAAAAAGGGCGTGGTTCATCTGAAACAGGTTGACCCATCGCGTTGCGCGGGGTGGCGTCACAACCCGAACGCTCCACCGCTTTCGTTATGGCGATCGGACCGTTCCAGGAGTATATTATCCCCTTGAATAGAAGAGATATTAACGAAGAAGTGAAGATTGTATGTTCAAATGTTGAATATTATATACATGAATGATAAACAACTTTAAAAACTTCAATTGGTACCACCAAATTCTAAACACTGCAACTTTATTGGAATTTGGTGTACGAGGGCCTAGTATTACCGAATGTTCCCTATATAGTACATCAATGGTATTTCTTGGATCATTCTGAATGGTAAGTTATTAGCAAGAGAAATTATTTACCATAAGGCTAAGAAATTACATCTGGAAGGAGTTAAATTGATAGCCGCTTCAAATACTATTTTGTTCATGACTGAAGTAGGTAGCTAGCGGTCATCTGAAGAATTCCAATGCAGAAAAGATTACTCAATTCATTTTGAAGACATTTCCACGCAGTTTACAGCAATTAAAGAGCGCGCGCAAAGCGGCGTGCTCACCCGTTATTTTTCACGCAATCAACGATTGAAGAGGAGACCAAGCCCAGCAAATGTAAAGACTAAAGGAGAAGTAGAGAGCGTGAGTGACAGAGAGCGCATTTTCTCGTCGACGAAAACGCGAAGTCACGGACGGACAGACAGACGGACATGACGAGCACAATAGCGCCTTTTTCCAAAAATGAGAAAATACGCTAAAAAGGAGTGCGGGTAATGTCCACTTAATTAATTAATAGTCACGATTAATTAATAGTCACGCTGCAGTGAGTATACTGAGTTATATTTTTTTGTTACTTTTAGTTACTATTCGACGAGCAGTTGTACACTTGGTGCTTATCCTGCACGGGGGATTCCATGATTTCCAAAACGCCTTGCTGATAAGCTTCATTGTACTAAGAGGTTTCTTGTTTATTTATTTGTTTCATTTCATTACAAAAAAGCTCATATATGTGAGAAAAAAAAACAATTATAATTTCGGTTACATCAATAACCACGAAATGGCATGAAGACTATTGAAATTTTATAACATAATATTTTTAATAAAATTTAAATACGCTAACTAGAGCCTGTCGCAATTCTCTCAAAAAATCTGCATTAGAACTAGTTCAATGGAAAATGTTACCAAGAAATTTAAAATCAAAGAAAATTCCACAAAAGTTCATCATGTCTATGAAAAAAAAACGTTTCCTAGTCCAGCTCATTCCTCAGTTCGAAGATTCAAAAATGCAGATGCAACACAAGTTAGTATAATTGAAATTCTAAATTACAACCTAAATTTACAAATATAAAACATAACACAAAAAAATATAAGTCAGTACTCACTGCAGTGAGTGACAGAGAACGCACTTTCTCGTCGACAAAAACGTGAAGTCACGGACGGACAGACGGACATGGCGAGCACAATAGTGCATTTTTCCATAAATGAGAAATGAGGGAAAAACACAAAATTTGTCTATTAACAATGCACGGGGACAGGATCTAAAAGCTGAATTTAAACTGGGCATCTGAGAAGTTTTGTTCAATAAATACATCCCACTTGTAAGTTTTCACGTTTTAATGGTGAATATTTTCAAAACCGGTTCTTTCTTTCGATACAAAGACATGATCCCTTTTCATATGTCTATCAATGCAGTTGTACACGATGAGCATCTGCGTATGTTAGGATGACGTAATGCAATCTTTACTCTAGGGTCGCAGAACATAAGGACAGGAGTTGTAGGACTGGGCCTAATTATCAAAACATCGCAAAGTACATGTAGCGACTTACGTGTGGCGTAATCGCTGATATGAAGACGTAACTCTAGCGGTGGTATTATCAAAAAATTTGCGCAGGAAGCTAACAAGAAGCTGTGCGTAGCTCAACATCTGCTCGGAGGTGTCGTAAATGGAGCTACGTGTATACAAGTTTTGAGTGTGCCTAAGCAATATAAAACTATTGATTTACATGTAAAACGGCGAATTATGATTGAATTTTGTCAATAATTCAACATTGGCATAATATGTGATCGTTCAAAGCGGAGTTTTTGGGTAAAAAAAAAAATTCAATTGTATTAATGCCAGCTAATTTCTTTTCCTTTTGTGCTATAATTTACAAGCAAATATTGACAATCATATCTAAGAGTTTTATGATCATTAATTAAAACAATATCTTAATGACTTTTTGATTCAAAATTAGATTTTTTTGCCGTGATTGCAAAAAATTGCAATCAAAGCGTTGTCATTGCTATTTGGACAACCTCCTTTCATCCACGCGCACTGCGCACTGAGTCGACAGGAGTAACGATCACTAATCATTTTCTAGTAGGCAGAAGACAACGTGTCAGCATTAATGGAACCGTATCAGACCGAGTAACTGTGCGCAGTGGCGTACCGCAAGGAAGCGTTCTTGGACCTGTTTTGTTCGTCGCTTTTATAAACGATCTACCAGAAGTAGTGTCAAGCGTGTGCTCCATGTATGCAGATGACACAAAAGTTTATAATACAGTTAAGGATGCGTAAAATAAAATGCAAATGCAAAATGATCTTGATAGTTTAGTTGATTAGGCTGATACGTGGCAGCTGCGTTTCAATGCTGACAAGTGTAAAGTACTTCACCTCGGCAAGAACAATGAACAGCAAGTTACAGCATGAGAAGACATGGTTGCAACGAGAGGGCTATGATTGAGAAGTCTTGCGTGGAAAAAGATCTTGGAGTTTGTGTCGACAAGGAGCTAAAATTATATAGGCATATTGAAACGCAAGTTAATACATCCAATAAACAGCTTGGGCTGATCAGACACTCCTACGAGTACCTAGATATAGAAATGATGAAGCTGTTGTTCACCTCTGTTCACCTCTGTCGTGCGCCCGAACCTAGAGTTTGGAAACGTTGTGTGGTCACCGAGACTTGAAAAGGACAAAAATTTAGTTGAGAGTGTTCAAAGACGTGTAACAAGGATAATTCCAGGATTAAAATCAAGTCTTATGAAGAAAGATTGAAGATCATGAAGCTTCCCAGTCTCCGTTCTCGTCGCCTGCGTGGTGACCTCATTGAAGTATACAAGTATACTCATGGTTTGTACAAGGTCACAGAAGGATTACTAGAATTTGAAACAAGAACCAACACCATGGGCCACAGCTATAAACTAAAAAACAGTGGTGCAACTTATCCACGCGACAACATTTCTTCTCGCTTCGAGTCACTGACATGTGGAACAGCCTCCCTGAAGATATTGTTGACGCTCCGAGTATGAACGCGTTCAAGAACAGACCAGACAAGGCCATGCAAGAGCATATGTTTAGTCTTGAAATGCCTCGTACCTTACGGAACAACTGATATCTAGAATCGATTTTAAATCTACCATCTGGTGAAAAGATCTAATCAAAAGGCCAGTCTAGTCAAGAAAAGCTCAAGAATCGGCGACAGGCCTATCCAGGCCTACTCTTTAATGCCGAAGATACTATACTATACTCAGTGGTGGGCACAGTTCCGCTAATCCGCTAACCGCTAATTAGCGAAGCTAACTTTTTGCTTATCGGATTAGCTGTTCAGCTAACTTTGAAAACCTTTAGCGGACCAATTAGCTTCCGCTAAATTTAGTTCCGCTAACTGGCAGTCCGCTAAAAATGTTTAAAAATCGCCGATTTAAGCTAAGATCGTAAGCCGTGTGCCACGCCCACACTGACGGCTGACTACGTCATCAAATGTTCGTCAGCCAATCACGTCTTGTGTTACTGGCAGTAACACAAGACGTCCTATACTGCATTCCTCTGGTGGACGCAATGCTGGCAGGCATCACGAAAAGGTTTGGGCCCCTCCTAGAAGACAAGGAGTGCCAGCTGGCAGCGGCCTTCCACCCTAAGTTTCACCTGTTCTGGCTGGAAAAGCATAATCACAGCCATCTCAGCAGGGTACAGAAGGCCATGGAGACCGCCGTGGAGACAGCCCTGAGGAAGACCGTTGAGGAGGGCAGCAGCACCACCAGCAATGACGAGGATGGGGAAGATGACTTCTTCAGCAGCATTACTCAGCCCATGGAGTCCAGGAGGAGCCACGGGTCACTGAAGTCCAAGGCACAGAATTTGGTGAAGACCTGACTGGAAAGCAGCTCGAAGGAGGAATGACTGACGTTGCCTTCTTGAGCGAGCAGGTATTAATGAACCTTTTCGTTAAGTAAATACAGCCATCCTATCCAGTGCTGCAGTTGAGCGCCTGTTTTCCATAGGCAAGGACATCTTGAGTGCCAAGAGAGCCACCCTGTCAGATGCCAACTTTGAGAGGCTGATGTTCATGAAGGGCAACAATCATCACCTCCAGGAGATGAAGGCGAAGGGCAAGCCAGAGTAAAAGGAGTGTGTAACCCTGGTGTAACCTTAATATTTCTTATTCGCTTAATAAACTGTATGTTAAATGTCATCTACTGCCTAATTTCATTTGTTCATTTATTTATTTATGTTACGTACATCTTGATCATCATCTGATCTTGGCATGCTACATCTTTTTGGAAAGCTCCTTTACAAGGCTGAAAGTTCAGCTCTCTAGGCCTGTTTTTCAGAGTTCCCCCCCCCCCAAATTAAGCTAAATCTAAATTTATATATTAAAAGTTAGCGATTAGCGGCAAATTCCGCTATATTTTTTGGTGATTTATCGGTTTAGTGTTATCGAAGCTAACTTTTCAGTTAGCGGATTAGCGGTTATCGAAGCTAACTTTTAGGTTAGCTGTGCCCACCACTGACTATACACTATACTAATCCAAAGCCTCTGATTGATCAGTTAGCCAGATGGTTTTGATAATAGCTTTTCTGATGAGTCATGCATATGAAAGTTTTGATAATGCCAAAATTAAGGTGTACTTACGTAACACGTATCTTCTTGTACGTACGTATAAAAAGATACGAATTTTTGATAATCCGGCCCCTGGGCAGCTACTATCATGCCCTCCTCATTCGGCTGTGCGCGCTCACGCCGAACAGTGTGACGTTCCTTTATCTGGTACTGACTTTAAGATTTTTGCTTCCACTTCCGGTGCTTAAAATTTGGATATTTTAGAATTGGTGTAAAAAGAGTCCCAGTTTGGATTCAGCTTTAGTTCTTGGCCATCCGAAATTATAAATAGATAAGTTCTGCAATTTTTTTCTTGTGCTATATATTTTTCTTGTAAATTTGGGTTGTAAATTCGGTTCTTTAATTTCAATTGTACTAACTAGTGATTTTATTTGCATTCTTTAATCTTCGAAGTGATGATGAGCTGGTCTCCGGAAGATATATGACGAACTTTTGTGGAATTTTCTCTGCTTCTAAGCTTCTAGTATAGTTTGCGATTCAAGCGAATGGGTGGCATAAAACTTTAATGTTACCAAATTCATTGCAATCTTTGCCTGTTTTATGCCAAGATTAATCCCTGAAAGAATATTTGTAACATTCGGTGCCTAGGTAACCTAGCAAGAAAATACTGATGCATGTTGACAATATTAAATACAAACACGCACATTGTAGTCTTCAGCGATGAACTGCATGATAAGCTGAAGCATGGGGTGTCCGCGCTTGAAATGGAAGGCAGCGTTGTTGAAACTTTTTATCTCGTCAACCTGAAATATTCAAATTGCTAATTTGAGGTAAAAAAGCCAGTTTCAATATCTGTAGGTGATTTGAATTTCTTTCATTTAATTATATTTCATAGACCTTATCAAAGTACTAATATAACAATCACTATATTTTTTCAATAATATCTCACAAAACATTTTCATAAATTAAATTTCAATTCGTGAATATTTAATTAAATAATGTATAAGAAACAGATAGGGTTAGCAATTTGAAAACGTAAAACATGAATTTACTTGGAGTGCAATGAAGTTTGTGAGATTCAAGACTGATCTTAAAGCCAAGGTATCCATGTCGGTGTAGAAGCCTCCAGACTTGTACACAACCGCCAGTCGACACATGTTGCTTAGGTTGTTGGGTAGATAATCTACGTCTTCGAATAGAATAAAATAAAACAACATTACTTTGACATTGAACATTATTCCACCAACTCGAAAGGGATTAATAAACGGATCAGTTGATTTTCAAGAGGATGTTACAAAATGGCATATACGTGCTTGTTAAAATCTCATTAAAGAATTGATGTCCCTTATTTGCTTAATTCGCACGTTAACTAAAAATTTAAAAGTAAAGAATAGTCCACAAAAATTCATATCCTTATAGAAAACGTTTCGGAGTCCAGCTCCATCGTCAGTTCGTAGAATCTATAATTTACATTGAAAGTCACAAATTAATACAATTTAAAGCACAGAACACAATTAAAACTTAATTTTACGAGTAATATGGCATAAAAAACTTTTCTATTCACAATTTCAAGGGAAACAGGAGCTAACAGCTAAATTTAAACTGGGCCTAAGTTTAAAAATATACAATGATTCTAAAATGCGCAAATCTGAAGTACCGGAGGTGGAAGCTAACACTCTAAAGTCACTGTCAGAAACAGGGATATCACACTGCTCGGCGTGAGCGCGCACATCCGAATGAGGGGGGCGCGATAGCAACCGTCCGGTCCTACAACTCCTGCCCTTATGCTCAGCGACCCTGGAGTAAAGATTGCGTGACGCCATCCCGACGTACGCAGATGCACATTGTGCACAACGAAATTGATAAACCAGGGACGATCTTATATGAACAGGGAGCACATCTTTATATCTAGAGAAAGAACCGAACTTTGAAACTGTTTACGGGAACAATGTGAAGTTCGACGTTTGGAAAGTATCTATTGAACAAGACTTTTAATTCTCTTGAGATAGATTCGGACGCAATGCCGAAGTATGGAAAATAACATTAAATAACGTTCCTACTATCACGCTCGGGAGCAACCTCACTGAATCGCTTCGACATGAATTTCTTGATTGGGGTATACACCAAACATGCCGAAAATCATGCATTGAGCGAGAAAATATTTCATAAGCATTCAAATTCAGCGTGCATAGCATGGTATGTTGAGCAAATGCGAAAACCTCTGTATAATAATGTTTGAAGCCCATTTAACTTGAACCGGAATGAACAAAAACTAAAGAAACTGGTATTTAGACCGGTGAATGTCGGCTTTCGGAACGCAGAAGTTAAAAAACGGCCATTAGATTTCGTAATATTGCAATCGAGGAAGGACAAACTATTATTAGATACAAGCTCCATGATAAATGTGATAGAATTATGTTGCGAGTTTAGGTAATCAATGAATGGTTTGACATGGGAGGGATGTCTGAGTATTAAAAAGGTGTCGTCGACATATCTGTTTTAGAATATCGGCTTAAAATCAAGAGGACAATTGGTCAGCCATGAAACCTCGTGAAAACACATACAAATGTTTGCAAAGGTCGGGCCAAGCGGTTGTCCCGTGCCTAAACCGTCAATCTGCCTATAAAACTTGCCAGTAAATATGAAAAACGAGTTAAGATCTGATAATTCTAAAAGAGGTTTGAAAAATTTACGGTTTAAACCAAACAAAAGATCATTCATATTTGTAATTTGTAGGACCCGGACGGTTGCTATCGCGCCCCCCTCGTTCGGTTGTGAGCACTCACGCCGAGCAGTGTGATGTCCCTGTTTCTGACAGTAACCTTAGGGTGTTAGCTTCCAGCTCCGGTACTTCAGTTTTGCGTATTTTAGAATCATTGTACATTTTTAAACTTAGGCCTAGTTTAAATTCAGTTGTTATCTCCTATCCCCTTGAAATTGTGAATAGATAGGTTTTTTATTCCCTATTACTTGTAAGTTGAGGTTTTAATTGTGTTCTGTGCTTTCAATTGTATTAAATTGTGTCTTTCAATGTAAATTCTACATTCTACGAACTGACGATGGAGCTGGACTCTGGAAAGTTTTCTATAAAGATATGAATTTTCGTGGACTATTCTTTGCTTTCAAATTTTTTGTTAAAATCTTTTTTGGATACTATATGCGCATTTGGTCATTGAAATGAGCATTCTCTTTCTGAACATTCTGGTTGAAATGATTTGAACAAGACAGTATACATGTAAACATTCATTATTTAACATCAGGCTGACTCTTGCATCATCTATCATGTTACGGCTACGCATGCATACTGCATAAATGTTAATTATTCAGGAAACGAGGCTTTTAAAATTAGCTTAACACGTTGACTACGAATTGGTACATATGCGTACCACGAAATGTATTTCTCCAGGACGTAGTGGTACATGATTTAGGTTGCATAAAATTGGTCAAATCCGAGAAGAAAAAAGGCCAAAAAAGGCCGATAACTCATAATATACTAGTTTATTTGTGGGTTCCACTATAAAAATTTCATTCATTTTCTTTTTGCAGTATTTAAAATTTAATTAGGAAGTACCCCTATCATAAATTTTAGCCGGCCAACTCAATTGAGAAAAACTAAATCCCGGAATTTGTCCGGAAAAAATTATCGTCTGGCAGCCCTGTTTAAAAACAGTACAAAAAATGAAATAATACGTAGTACAAGATGAAGCAATCGCAGTCAACGTGTTAACTCATAAAATGTTACAAAGTTACGAAACTCTAACCAGACCTTAAATATCCTCGGCCGTCCGCGAATATTGATAACATATTGATAACATAAACAATAACATTCCTACACGTTATAGTTAGTCTGATGAATGAAGATTTAAACTGAATTTAAAAATGATCAATGAAGATTTAACATGATGAATGAGAAATTAAAAAAATCTTGTGTTTTAAATTTTTATACCATCACTTATTTTGTTGCTCTTATTTGATTTTTATTGGCTCTTGCATGTTGTCTTTTCATTCAGGGTCTTGTATTATGGGTTATAACTTGATGAATATAACTTGCGACGTGGCTGTATCTGAGAGTGATTTCAGGATACTCGGTTCCACTTCTGGCTGCTCGGATTTGAGAATTTTGGAGTCTCTACATATCTTCAAACGAAAACCATGTCTCAATAATGCGTTTAGCTCATATAATCTGGAAATTGTAAATCGCTAGGATTTTATATTCTTGTCGTACCCCTAGGACTAAGTTGTTCATAACTAGTCCTGTTTATTTCGATATAATGTTAGGTCTTGTTTAGGTTTTATGTCTGTCTTTGAATTTTGACTTTTAAAGTGATTTTATTCATTTTTAGTTTAGTCGAACTGATGATGGAGCTGGACTCCGAAACGTTTTCAATATCGATATGGTGAATTTTCTTGGCCTTTTCTTTGCTTTTAAATTCCTTGTGAACTTGCGATATAAGCAGACTAATGATATAAGTACCTTTTCATCCGCCTCGACCTCATTAATTGCCAAGAGCAAGAAGCTTGAAACAGTGTGGAGCGTTACTTTTCATAAATTGGAGCAAATTCACTAGTGATTGGTTGATTGTTTCATGCAAGAAACGTGATTAAACTGACATCTGAACAAGATAACCTTTGCTCTGATGCTGCCTCATATCATTCACATGCCTCCCACCACACGGCTTGTTTCATACCGAAATATACAACCGCCAAATAAACCCTATTATCCCTATCCCAAATTATTCTCTGTGACGACTCTGGCGAGCTTATTCGGCACCTAAACGGAATCCAAATTTAGAGAGCGAAAATGTTTTAAAATGTAATAAAATACACAAATATACACAACGTGCCTGTATTAATTACTGAACGCCACTCGTGTACATTCATTCGTTCACAATCACTGGAAAAAATCCGTAATGACTTCTTTTATAAAAATGTGTTTCCCTATTAAGATATGCTAGGTATACTATAGAGAATATTTTTAAATATGTCTAGGATAAATTCTTAATAAATTTCCCCTATAATTAGTGAAGGTAAATAACCAGCCAATACATAATAATAATAGCGGTTTCAGCGATTAGTAGGCCGTAGGCCTGTCGCCGATTCTTAACATTACAGAACATTCACAGCATTTTGCGGTCTCGAACTCGCAACCCACTGTTACAATTCTGCCGTGCTTAACCGCCCGGCCTCCTCGCCGATTCTGACCAGAAACTGGCGCACAGAGCTGGGATCGAACCGGCGCCTCTCTGCTCCAATCTTGGTACTCTGAATTTTAACCACTGGGCCACCCTGCGTACTGTAATCATTTGAGATGAAATAAGAGGCCGAGCAAGAAGTGGACGAGCTAAGCCGTAGAGAAATTACTCTCAACCTCAACCTAAAGATGTTATAAGAGAAGAGATGCGTTTTTCTTGCTAATATATACAATCCTAACTACAATGGTCCTTTTTGACTGCAGTAATATGAACCATTGTCACCTACTTTGTGTCCTTAAATTGTTCTACGATAAGGTATGTTAAAATGGACTCTTCAAATACTTTACTTACCGGTTTCAGAAAATTTTGTAGATGTATAAAGTTGAGCAAAGGGCGTGCCACTAAAGGCTAAGCCCACGTCGAGGTAGGCAAGACGAAGGTTACGGTGGACGGCGGCTACTGCCTTCAGGTCCAACCATGACGGCCCCACCAGCGATGGTGATGTCACCAGAAACCAGACAACCGCACTCGGGTTAAGCGAGCACCAACTAAAAAGTTAACTGGGATAATTTTATTTGGTTTCAAAAGGTAACGTTGGAAATTGTCATCGTCACATACAAGAAAAAATTGACAGGTAAAGGAAAAAGTGTCGAGAAATACGAGAAAAAAAATTATATATAACCGAGAACAACAAAGTATCTTCTCTTCTGATATATGAAAACACAATTAAAATAAAATTTCACGGGAAAAATTTAGACGTGAATATCTAACCAAGTAACGAATTGGATAGCCAGTTTAATTCAAATATATTTTTTTTACTTTTCAGATTTTTCAAAATCAGTAATATTGGATACTAAAAATCCGTTTGAAACTCTTCATATTTTTGTTTGCACACATTTCTTCACTAAAGAAGAAATGTATGTTATACATAAATTCCGGGTTTTTCATTGTCATCGCTACGAATT